TCATTTATAATTTAGTCTTCTTTCTTCGTATTATTTGATGTAAAATTTGTAATAGACTCTCTTACTCAAATTTTTAATATCATTGTTGAGATGGGGTCTATGGCATTTTTATCGTTAGATATCTTGGAAGTCGATTCTAATACTACTTTTCACATGGTCATTATCTTCTCCAACAAGATCAATCTATTGAGGTGTGTAGACTTCTCGCTTATAATGTAATTTCCTTTATTCATTCCGTTTAATGTAAATTTGTAACATACAATTTTAACATTTTATATGTGTCCATGTTTTTTTAAATTCATTTTTATTTTGCAAGGTTAATTTTTGTAATTTTAGTTACAATTGGAGACTATTTCCAACACAGTCGTGCCATATTTGGTATTCAACACATCATGTCATATTTGATAAGTTAGATAAAGTTAGGTAGTATATGATAACTTTTGGATAAATGTATCTCACTTGGTAAGCTAGATAAGGTTAGGTAGTATGTGATAACTTTTAGGTAAATGTATTCTACTGACACAACATCCTTGTTTTTATTTCTTATTTCATAAATTTTAACTCTAACATGAAAAAATGCTCGATAAAAGTCTAAATTACCAAAGCCATCAAACCACAGCAACGCGGATCAAAAAAGGAGGCTGAAAACGAGAATCCAGTGAGCCCAACCGAACCCCCAATTGAACGGCAATCGCAAATCGTCCGTTCTCATCTCGGTTGGTCGTCTCGTCCCATCTCGCCTCGACACCTGCTCAATATAACATTATATTTTAATTTATTAAATTTATTTCATTTATACACATATTTTATTACTTGTAATTGATAAGAATTTTAATATATCAATTAGAAAATACGAATTTGATTATTCAAAAGTTAAAAGAGAGAAAAGCATTGAAGTTTTAATTCAATATCGAAACTGAGCTTTTGATAACTTTTTAAAAAGTAATAATAAAAATAAATTAAAAAATAATGGAATTTGTTCTTTAAATGTACAAGTTAGTAATATAGAATTGAATTAGATAGTCATGAAATAGAATAATAAGAAAAAGAACTGATTCTGAAGAACTTGGATTATTACATTTCTTAAAACATTTTTGATATTAATACAAATATAAGTGATTTATTAGTTGAAAAGGAATTTATTAAATTTTAATAAAAATTTGGAAGAATAAATTTTAAATAAAAAATGTACATCATTATGAACCACCAAATTTATTGAGCAGCCCCACCAAGCGTAAAACAAAGATAGATACATGTTCCTGTCGGCACCTTTGTCCAGCTTTATTCAACGCACTTTAACACGTTCTCACGCGCAAACAGAAGAGAAGAACGTAAATCATGTGAAATGAAATCAAAGGCTAGTGTGTCATCCATGACGACTCTGAATCTGTAAAGCACGTTGACCTTATTTTTGATATTAATTTTATGTTCTATGCACTTTCTTATCAGCCAAACTGTTGGACCTAATTTCTTATCAGCCATTTAATTTGAGATTGCGTCAACCAAAAGATTTCTTTTCGATTTGGGCTTTTGGCAAATTCATCTCGACTCAACCATTAGTGCTTATATACGTTAATTACACAAGGGGTTTTCGTGATACAGTATCATTTATTATTTTTTTAAAATGTATAATGTGATAATAATTAATGCCTATAATTAACTTCTTGGTTATGATAAATATAAATTATTTTGTGTGGGTGTGTGTCATGAGACTATTATCTTTTTCTCTCAAAAAAATATTTATTAGAGTGTGTAGCGTTATCATTTATATATCAATATCTTATTTTTTTATTTGACGTGAGATTTATAACATTCTCATTTATTTTAACTCTTGATACTTTCATCAAATCAAGATTTATGGTATCCTACCAGCTTATCTCTCCTTCAAAGTATTTGGCATATGTCATATTACTACCGAACTAGTTTTTTTGATATCATTTATAAGGTAACCTTTATTTTATATTTTAGGTATACTTATTAAAATTATAATGCTATTATTTATATTATTTATATGCCAGTCCCTTCATTTTTTTTTTTTCTGATCTGTCATGGGATTCGTAATAGTGTCCATGATAGCACGCAGGGCATCAAATTACCTCCGGAATAACTTGCCGGTGTGATTGTGAAGAGATTCAAGAAAGTCAACAGGCATTAATCATCAAAATCTCGTGGGCTTGGATAATAAAATTATTAAAAGTTTCATACTAAAAAATTAAATCCCACCCAGACCCCCCCTTTTTTTATTTAATGCAATTTGGTCGGTTGTTTAATTAAATTGTTTTAAATTGGGTATGGATTTCTATTAAACGGATTTAAAACCATTTGATTTCAAAATTTCTAGAAAACCAAATCATATCCAAACCCACTCTTCCCTTCCACAGAAAGGCTTCCATTAGTACCACATTATTGGAAGTCATGTTTGATAAATAATAGAAGAAAATAATGTCACCAAGCAAAGTATACTTTGCTATTTTCAAAAACACGTTTAAAGCTTGAAATATTAAATTCACATTGAATTTTCTTAATGATTTAGTAAAAACTCAACCTTATTTCTAATGTCAATTAACAGACAATCTCACGAGGCGGCTCTATAATTTTGGTGGTTTAAAATTAAACTTAAAATTAATGTCTTTTTATCTGTATAATAAAATTAATTTGAGTTCTTATTTAAAAGTTATTTTCTAACTTTTTGAGATGCAAAAGTGCTAATTAAGTTTTTATACTTAATTTCTTCTAATATTTCTTTTTCAATTACTTATTTAAATAATATAAAGTACTTAATTATTAGAATAATATGAGTAGATTGTAATAAATATTATTTCATAAGAATACTTCAATATTGAAATTATCTTACTCCCCAACTATAAAATAAGTGTTTTTAACCTTATGAGAAGAAATTTGATAGAAAAAAAATTGAAGTTTTGAGATAAGTGAGTGTTAAAATTAAAAAATACTTGTTTGAGAAATAAAATATTTTAATTATGAGATAAATAAGGAAAAATTAGCAACTATAGGAAGGTGATTAGATCGAAATTAACTACTTCAACATATAGATAACATTGACTGTTATAAGTTTTTTTTTAAAAAAATTATAATTATTTAAATTATTATTATAGTGTAAATTATTATAAAATCTTAAAATTTTTGTGACCTAACGTAATTACTTTACTTGCTTTGCCTTCAGCTGGCTTTGTAATCTCAAATATTTTAATTAATAATGCCATCTTGAGTTTGTTGAATGAAAGAAAAGATAAGATTTGAAAAAAAAAGGTATTATTTTAAGTGGTCTAGAAACAAATTAAGGCATATTATTTTTGCTAGATCGGAGGAATATATTACTTTCAAAGCAAAAATATATTTTATAGATGAAAAATAATTGAATGTTCGTTGTCAGACAATAATAAGTTTCCAGAAATACCCTTGTACTTTCCAACAGAAGTGGTCAAATTTGATAAGGAAATAAATTGAATCGGTTAAAAAATTCATTACCCGTCCTTTTTTTTTTGTTTGGGTTGTTTTACATTATAAGTAGTCAGAGTAAATAAAATTGGTGAGAAATTACTTTCCATTTCCCACCTTTTTAATCTTACGAATTCAATCAAAATAAAAATGTAATAAATGTATTTCATTATTTTAAAACCTTCTTTAGATAGAAAATCTTATCAGCAAATAATGGAGAAAACTCAAATGACTCGATTGACGGCACTCAAATTGATGAGGCTTATTGTGTATTCCAAAAAAAGAAAATCTAAATAAATTAATAATCTATAAAAAGAAGAAAATCATAAAAAATTATCCCAAAAATCACTCCTCAGTCTTCCCAAATTCTTTCCAAGCTCATTCTGAAATCATCTAAATGAATATTAAACTGACAGGATCATTTTGAAATCATCCAACTCATAATGTCAATATGTTGAGTGGAATGGATAGTTTCTTATTTTAGAAAAAAAAAAGAGAGTAAATCTCACTTGTAGCCCTTTAAATATAAATTAAATATTATATTAATTTTTTAGGTTAAGAATGTGATGTCTCCATCTCTTAAATTTAATATAAGTTCCTGGGTAATCTCACAAGTAACTTTTTAGATAATTTTTGACCATTTTCTCATGACTTTAGTCTTACTCGTAAAAGTTAACGATGATAAATTTACCATTAAAAAAAACGGGTAGAAGATGAAAAAAATACAGTAGTGCAAGTGGCGGAAAAATAGTTTAAGCAACTGTACTAAAACTTACATTAAATTTAAAAAATAAAACTTTGACATTCTTAATTTGAAATTTTAATGTAATATTTAATTTAAATTTAAGAAATATGCGGTAAAATTTATTTAAAAGAAAAAAAAAGCTCCGATCAATGAATCTGGCCAGGGACACAATGTCTATACTTTGTGCAATTCTGCACACCGGCTGTAATTTGTGACGTAGTGACATTGCCCTCCACCCCCTCTCCCCCCCTACACACACTCCACACGACACTACTCTCTCCGCAGTTTGTAGAAGACAAGTGTCAGCCAAATCTCGGAGCTTCCGAAGGCTGGTAGGAAAGATAAAAATAATAATAATAAAACCTGGATAAGGCTGACACCGAAGAAAGCCTACGGTGACTCCTGGCTCCCTGGCTTTCTCCTTACCAGGTCAGCATCCTCAGCTCCGACCCGCCTTAGACGTCCCCTTCCTAAGATAACTCCTGCCACGTTCTCATTTTTCCTAATTAATTATTTAATCGAATCCTGAATCTCGGAAGTTTAAATCACGCATGTATGTATGACCTGCACAAATCAAGTAATTAGTACACAAATACGCGGTGCCTAGACTACGCTCCCCAATTTTTTCTCTAGATCTCTCTCCCCAATCCCCCAACAGTAGCACTAAAACTCGTGTTTTTGTTAACCACTCAAAACCCTATACATCTTCCTATATAAAACACACACGAGCCGTAGAAGCTTCATCAAACTTCTTCCATCTCCAGAACTAGAAGTTTCAGATCGACCACCCTCGGCCATGGCTAACCCCGATCTCTCCGCCATTCTACCTCGCGTCTTGATTGTCTCCAGACGAACAGTTCGCAAAAACAAGTTCGTAGATTTCGTGGGTACGTACGCATGTCTAATTTGTGGCCCATTCTTGAAATACATGAATAAAAGATCGTTAATTTCGGTTGGATATGTGTAATTTTCAGGTGAATATCATCTTGAGTTAATAGTGGGCTATGGGGCAGTGCCGGTGATCGTGCCCCGGGTGAACGGCGTTCACATGTTGCTTGACAGCTTCAAGCCGATCCATGGCGTTCTCCTCTGCGAAGGCGAAGACATCGACCCCTCTCTATACGTGGCCGACGACGGGCTCTCGCCGGAAGATATGGAGGAAATCCGGCGGCTTCACGCCAGTGACACGGCCATTGACAAGGAAAAGGACACGATCGAATTGAACCTGGCGAAGCTCTGCCTCGAAAGGAACATACCTTACTTGGGAATATGCAGGGGATCGCAGGTTTTGAACGTTGCATGTGGCGGTACCCTTTACCAAGACATCGGGAAAGAGCTAAGCCAGAAATTGCCGGAGGAACTGAGGGTGATGCACATTAATTATGACGATTATGACGGTCACCGGCACAAGGTGAAGGTGATGGAGAACACCCCGTTGCATGATTGGTTCAGGTAATCGCTTTCATGTCACTGTTCTTGTTTTCTAATCTTGGTTACACAAAGAATTTCAAAATTTTTCCCCCCAAAAAAAAAGAAGAGGCGAAGTCTTAAATTTTTGCCGGACCTCCTTTTCCTCTTAGTAACCTCGAGTTGGATTGGTCCAGGGATTCTCTGGAGAAGGGCAAAATGGAAATTTTGGTTAACAGTTATCACCACCAGGGAGTGAAAAAGCTGGCCCAGAGGCTTGTGCCAATGGCCTATGCACCGGACGGATTGGTGGAGGGGTTCTATGACCCGGATGCGTACAATCCCGAAGAGGGTAAGTTCATAATGGGGCTCCAGTTTCATCCGGAGCGAATGAGGAGACCCGATTCAGACGAGTTCGATTATCCGGGTTGCCCCGCTGCTTACAAGGTAACAACACTACCAATCCAGCGTTATCAGTTTTGACTGGTTCTGTGACGATATTAATGCTTATTTTTTAAACCGGCAGGAATTTGTGAAGGCGGTAATCGCATATCAGAAGAGGCTCAACAGCTCAACCAGTGCGCCAAGGTCACTAAAGCTTGACCAAGAAATGGAGAAGCAGAGGAAAGTCCTGGTCCGGAGCTTCTTTCTCGCCAGAAACATATATGCGGGTGGCGGAGACAGAAACTATCCTTCTAAAGATTCTGAACTCGAAGTTGGCGCAGAATTTCTTGAGGTATTACCAATCATGTTTATCATGCTAGTCCTGAAGAGGGTTTTGCAGATTCTGAAGTGGGTTTTTTGACTTGTTGTAGTCGAACACGGCATTAAGCTTGGTCCAAGAGAACAGGCTGAAGCAGATGGGGGCAACGGTGAGGAATGCGTCGTTCTACTTGGACAGATTGAGGAAGAACGAAGAAAGAGAGAGTGTAGCGAGGAAATTGATTGGGAAGATGACAGCAGAACAGGTATCGGAGCTGATGTCATTCTATCACATGATGAGCCGGATCTGCTCTGAAGTCTTGGAAAGAAAGCTTCACAGCATTATGAATGAGGTCGGCCCGTGACCTCATCTCTCTCTCTCTTTTGTCTTCTTTTCGTGGGCCTCCTGTTGTGGTCAACTTGACTCAGTAATTCTCACATCAAACTCGAGTCCCCGGGCCTTTCTCAGAGATTGTATCTACCTTCTAGCTACTTTATTGTTTGTGATCTTCCAATGTGTAATTAATAGTTGTTTCTGGTCCTTGTAAATTCCTAAAAAAATTAAAAGTAAAATTTTGTACTTCAGAAATTTTCTTTTTTTTTTAATTTAATTTTTTTGTTAATCAATTGTTCCTGCAGAAGACGAGAGGTTGACATTGCTCTTGTTAAGAGTAGAGTCAAATAAATTGAAAAATTAAAGAGGCTGCTGAGTTGGTTCTTGACAATCGGGACAAACATTATTTTAAGATAGAGGTAGAAGTCCAAATGGTGAATTTTTGGAGTGACTAAAGTTGGGACTCAAGTTTGGAATGAATTAACAAAAGGTAATTTTGTACAAAACTAAAAATTTAATTTAGTATAAAACTTTCAATTGGTTAAAGTTTATTCTGAATTTGATTTAAATTTTAGAATTTAAATCTCATTAAAATATTTGATAGTTCAAATTTAATTACAAATATTCATAATCTAAAATAAGTAGGTCCGATATGAAGTTAAGCAATTTAATTTTTTAATATTTTGAATCCTAATTTTAATATTTTTTATTAAAATAATAATTATATATATAATATTAAAAGATTTAAAGTTGTAAAGATTAAATTTGAAAAAATCAAAAAATTTAAGGATCCACCCCCAAAAAAAAAAATAATAATAATAAAAAGAAAAAAAAAATGAATGAATGAACAAAGAAAAACCAATACATGCACACACAGCCCACTACCACCACCAAAAAAAAAAAAAAAAAAAAGAAAAAAATTGCACTGCTAACTGCTTATTAATTTTATTCTGATGATGTCAAGTGTTATTCTCCTTGTCCTTCTTCCTTTTTCTCTTGATAAAATAGAGTTGAGGGATTTAAGTATAAAAGAGTATTATTTTCTGTAAAATCGGGTCTTCTTATCAGATTTTACATTATTGTTCAGATTTGAATATTCTTTACTATGTATATATATATAAATTTTATAGAATTTCAGATCAAATTCAGATATGAAAATGGTTAATCGAAAACTTGGATATAACTAATTTGATCCTAATTTGACATATTTACAACCATATTTAGATAGAAGAGAGGTATCAGAGGAGATTCAGACATTAACAGCTTACTTGCTCAAAAATGGGTGCATTCACGAGAGCAATTTCAGTAAAAACTTTTCTATCTTCGTAAAAATAAAAAAGTCTCGATGAACCCCAAAATGGGGAATGGAAATCATTGTATAAAAATGGCACACAATTATCTGCTAGTCTCATTCTATTAATATAAGAAACTACCCAGTTTACGAGCTTTCTCTTTTCATGGTTTCAAAAGTTCTCTTCACATGACCTTTTAAACTATTTACACCTTTTAAAAATGTAGAACTTGTCGTCAAAATTTAAATATTTTTAAAATTAAACATAATCTTTATATTTATATTTATTAATGCATAAGTTTATAAAAATAAATTTATGGATGAATAATAACTATATTTAGGAACATGCGAATCATATATTTAGAATAAAATGAAATCATTATTAGTTAAAACAAAATAACTATATAATAACATGATAAAAAATTTTCCTAAAATATGTGGACATGACAAATTTATTTTGCAATATAATCTAAAAAATGATATAGCAGAATTTGTTAAATATTAATAATTTTGGGTTTGTAAATTTTCAATGTTCTGATAATATATTTAACTTTTCTCTAGAATAAAATAAACAAAAAAAGTTATCAGCATGAAATAAAATGCTTTTTTATTGTTTAGAAAAATGTATTTTCAATCTCCATATTTTTAATACGAATTACAAATTAACATGAAGTGCTCAAATATTATGTAATTTAATATATCTAACTTCAAAAGCTGGATATTTGGGTTTGGTGAGATGAGGATTTCCAATAAAAGTTTATTAATGTTACTTTCAACACAAACTTGAGGATATTGGTCATCCTATTTTCAATAATTGCATTATATGAAATCCAGTTGCTTTGAAAAGTGAAGATATTGAGGTTGGGTATTGGGGTTTGATCAGCATTCTTATCCCATATCAAAAAACTAGAGAAAGGATTTTGTGCTATACATAGAAGTCCGATTCTAATACAATAAAGAGGGAAGATTATGGTATACCAAGGGTAGATTGCATGGATATTTAATCTGATTTAATCTAATTGTGTAATACCCCTAATTTAAGGGTATTTATAAGATTCTATAAAAACTATGGGCTAAATCGAACAAATCAAGAACTTCAAGGATTAAATCAAAAAGGAATCAGAAAGTCAGGGGACCAAATCGAAGATTTTATAAAAACAGATCCAATCGGATCGTCCCCAAATCCATCTTCCAAATCTAGATTCACAATCCGATCAAATCTATGGCTGATTTGATGAAATTTTCCTTGATCGATTCTATATATGTAAATCAAGTCTCACAAAATTGAAAGCTCGAACCAATTGTTCCAAATAGCCTTCTGCAAACAGGATTTTCTTTGTTGGTACACTATCGAAGCCGACTAAGGGAAAATCCATAAAGGTTCACGAAAATCTCCATAAAATCGATCGAGAACCTACACATTGGGAGTCGGTTGGTCCTTTTGAGTACGATTACAACGTTGATCTCAGAAGCTTGAGGCGATTCCAGGTGAGAATCCTCCATCCTTGTTTTCAGTTTTTGGGTTAAGGGGATGAGATCCGGAGCTTCACGGGTCTACACTAGGTCCGGGTTATGGGCTTGTAAATGCAGGCCGAATTTAAGTAACGGGCTGGGTTCTGCGTGGGCTGGATCTCAGCCACAGCCCAGAACCTGGAACCCAAAACAGAAAAAAAAAGATATATAATAATGAAAAGAGAGAAATTAATTTATTTAAGGAAGGAAATAGAAAAAACTCACCGGTTCACCTATAAAATTTCTGGTTTGATATTTTAAAGGAATGTTTAAGACGTTGATACTTGGTTCGTGAAGAATTTGACCGGTTCGGAACTTAAATAATTATAGTACGGAGCTCGGGTACGAAAAACCTAGAAATTGGTTTACTTTTAAATTTAAATTATTATTATTAGAAATATAAATTTGGTATTACTATTATTTCCTGGTTCTAGATTGATCGCACGATTCTGGTTGAGCTGTGTCGTCAAGTGTTGGATTTCTCGGTTTCGTCATTCTGTGAGTAATAATGTGTATTTATGAGCTGTTCTGCTTTCCATATTGACTAATTAATTCTGTTTTTAATTATTTACTTGATTTTCTACAAATCTGATTAAATTTTTGTTAAATTATATGACAAGGGCCATGCATGTAATTTCTGAAATTGTTTTGGAAACTTGTCTGTTGTTTATATTTGATTCAGTTTTATATCAGTACATAGAATTATTCAGTTAACTATTCTGTTAAATTTGAAAAACATTATTTTGAGGGAGTTTCGGATTTTTGAACACTGTAGCTGACGGCAGTACACATTAGCATGATTTGTACCCTGTATGGGTCCCCACCTAGTAAGGGTGATGGTGCTAGATATTTCAGTTTTCAGGACACACGTTGCCATTCAGTTATTCAGGGCATACGTTGCCATTCAGTTGTTCAGGGCATATGTTGTCATTCAGTTATTAGGGCATATGTTGCCATTCAATTATCAGGGCATATGTTGCCATTCAGATTACCGGTTGACTGCGTGTCGCCGCCTTGGTTATTGGCTGACTGTGTGTCGCCGCCTTAGTTATCGGCTGACTGTGTGTCGCTGCCTTGGTTATTGGCTGACTGTGTGTCACCGATCTGTTTCCCGATATATGTTATGTTCAGGATTACAAACTCCCTAAATTACAGAAAATGTTTTGCATAAAATCTGTTTTTAGTAAATTATATATTATATCTGTATGCATGTCCTTTGTTTTCATAAATGCAGATTATTATTTACTGGGTCAATAGACTCACTCTTATTTTTTTCAGATTCTGAGTACGCTGATCCAGTGGCTCTTACTTACTGATAGGAGTCCGTATCATCAACGGTTCTATTTAAATTTTTTTCTATCCAAAGTTAGTTATTTAGTTTCTATCAGACTTTTGTATTTCCTGAGATTTTAGTATGCTCAATTTGACTACAGACAGGATTCTATTTTGTGTTTGATATTTCAGTTAGCTTGGTTTGAATTTTATTTGAGTTTTATCAGACTTTCTGCTTTTCAGTTAAATTTAGTGTTTCTGTCAGGCTTGCATGAGTTAGGATTTATTCTCACTCTTGCGCCGGTCACGTATCCGATTTTGGGTCGTGACAAATTGGGGTTTATTTGGTAGGTCGGATAAGAGTGGATAAAAATAAATTATTTATTCTTATTTGACTTTCTCTAATGTTTAGTAGATTAAATAATGAAATTGGATAAAAAAATTTAGACATAATAATATGGAGGGAAAGATAATATAATTTATTCAACTCGTATCCAGTCTATCTGGATAATACTGTCCCCTAACATTTAGAAGTGATTCACTATTGCTACCGCCATCACAGCCACCTACCACCCATCATCTTTGTCCACCCTGCCACCCATAGCTCACCACCAATATCCACCACCTACTACTCATTGTTACCCATCACTCGCCACACCCCCACGACCTATTGTTGGCCGCTTATCACATCCCACCCAGTAACTTGAGTGATGTGTGACAATAAAATAGGGTTTAGCAACTTTCGATACACAAAATTCACCGAAAAATATCAAACCTTATTCAACTATCGTACCTTCTGAGTCCACTATACAACTCACATCCAATTACTGAATAATATAACAAAAATTGACATAACATAATTGGAGAATTAAATAATTATCATAACGGAAAAATATAATTACTTTATATAACTTCTTTTTTTCCAAAATAAAATTTACATATACTACAACTATTTA